TGAACAAGAAAGACTATGAGAAAAACAGGGGCAAAATGATCGGAGCCCTCAGCGTTAATGACGACCCCAAGATGCTGCACTCTCTGAAGACGGCCAAAATGCAGAGTGATGTGAGTGCTTGTGTGAATCCCCCTGATTTTCAGCTGTGGCTGCACTTGCTGTTTAATGTAACCTTGGCTGTGATGTTAGCCTAAGTAAAATCTCAGATTCAGGATGACGAGTCAAACATGAAAGCCCCGTGGTAGAGAATGATTAACTTCCTCATTTTTATGATGTCTCTGTACTTGGAGACATCAGTGGACATTGTAAAGGTTCCCCCATCATCTCCTTACTTCCTTCTATTTCATTAGGGGGAAATTTTTACCAGCAGTATCATTTTCTGTATTGCTTTTCCTAGAAATGGGCTTAGTATCTCAGGATGTATGAACATGTATTCATTCCATGCCATGACCTGACGACAGGCACTTTACAAAAATACATGGAGAAAAATAAAAGGCAGCCTTGGCCGGGTGACTCAGTTGGTTGGAGCATCGTCCCATACACCAGAGGTTGTGGGTTCGATCTCTGGTTGGGGCACATAGAGAGACAACTGATTGAGGTTTCCCTCAAGTGGATGTTTTTCTCCCTCTCCCTTCCTCTCTCTAACTATCAATAAACATATCCTCAGGATAAGGACAAGTAAATAAATAAAAGGCAAAAAGTGAGAAATCAGGCTAAAGACAAAGTAGGAATAACTAGATGAAGCATAACTTCAAAAGCAAATTATTTTAAGAATTTTACAAAATACTGATCTTATTTTATTTTTTCCCGATCTTATTTTAAAGCCATTAGAATACTTATTATATATAAAATAAAACTATTTACAAAATTGCTTTTCTAATTCATACAAAAAATAAATACTTCCTATTCTGTATCATTTACACATAGTTCTGTCCTTAGTAAGTATTTTTTTTTTCATTTCTATATGGGAGAATTACAAGAGAATATGAAGAAATATATGATACATACAATAAAATAGAAACCCCGTCTTTTCATGTATTATTGCTATAAAGTAAAATATCAGGCCTTAATGATAAAAGGTAACTTACAGAGGTTTTCATCAAATGCTGAACTAAATACTTTCTTAAGACTGTGCCTAGTCCTAGCTAGTTTGGCTCAGTGGATAGAGCATTGACCTGCAGGTTCAATTCTGGTCAAGGGCAGCCGATCAATGATTGTCTCTCATCATTGATGGTTCTCTCTCTCCCTTTCCCCTTCTCTCTCTTACATCAATAAAAATATATTTTAAAAAAAGACTGTGCCTAAATATCTAAGGCTCACCTTACACCTTTTACCTCATTTTTCCAACTCTTAAAAAAATAATTGTCCTTCACACACTCAAGAGGAAAGAATTGTTTCAAGACCGAAAGTTGCTTAGACAGCAGTACTTGTGTGCTCTGATTTATTCCCGCTGAGAAATGTTAGGAGAAGTAAAGCAAACATATTTATCCTTCTCAGCAGACTAGATTACACAAGACATGAGCCTCTCCCATGCTCGTCCTGCTTTTTTGCTTTGTGGAAAATTGATGCTGAAAAAATACAAAATTTTTCTCTTTCGGTTAAAGCACAGCAATGATGTGAATGAATGGCTTTTACACCATCAGAGTTTTCCCCTTTGTTTGATTTTCTTCTTCCTTTGACAGAGATTGTACAAGGAAAACTATGAGAAGACAAAGGCAAAGAGCATGAATTACTGCGAGACCCCTAAGTACCAACTTGATACTCTGCTGAAGACCTTCAGCGAGGTTCGAAAGGCCGTGACCACCTCTGGGGTTGGGGGGTGACTGGGGGGAGCTTTCCTCCTGTCTGACAAATAACTGTCCATTTGAGTTACATATATTTCCTTTTCCAGGCTAAGTATAAAGATAAGTATGTGCAGAATATTCTGGGACATTACATAGGCAGTTTTGAAGACCCATATCAATCACACTGCATGAAAGTTTCAGCACAAAACAGTGAGGTAAGTTTGAAGACAATTGGCCATGCCTGACAGTGACACTGGGAGCAATAGCAGTCATCATCCGTTTTTGTTCTTTCTCGTTACAGAAAAATTACAAAGCAGAATATGAAGAAGATAAAGGGAAATGCTATTTCCCTCAGACAATCACACAAGAATATGAAGCAATCAAGAAGCTAGACCAGTGTAAAGACGTAAGTGCTGCTGTGAATTTCTGAAATTGGGTTTGGAATGCTTGTGCCATCTAGTGGTAAATTGAGCAGGAGTTAAATGATATTTGGAGGTATTAAATTTTGGCTTTTGTGTGGAATTGGGGAACACAAAAATTACTGTGAAGAAGCCTATTTGTTACAAAGTAATTTCAGGTTTCAGAAATTTTTGTTTCCATTAGGGTATATATGACCTCAAGGGAAACAGAGGACACGGAGATTTGTGAGCAATGGGTGTTCATCCATCCAACAAATCTGTGCCAAATGCTGTCCTCGGTGCTGACAAGGTTGGCTGCCTCTCATGGAGTGTGCATTTGTGTTGGAGATACAGGCGATGAACAAAGAGCACAGAAAAAGAAAGATAAAGATATCAGGCATTAAGACAGCTAACGTAGAGTGAATGCTACAGAATGAAAATAGGATGCTGTGGGGGAGAGGGATTGCATGGACTTGTAGATTGGTTAGTCAAGGAAGGTCTAAGGCAGCCATGCCAAGATCAAGGTAAGAGCAGCAATGAGAACAGCCCAAGGAGAGAACAAGCTTGGCATTAAAGGATTGAAGGGATGAGGTGGTTGAAGTATATTGAGTAGTAAGAGCTGAAATGGTAGGAGACGAAGGAAGAGTGGTTTCTGTAGGGTAGGGCTTATAAGCCAAGAGACAGTTTAGAGTGAATATCAAGTCCAGTGGAGAGTCATGTAGGGCTTCAGCACGGGGAAGATGAATCTGGTTGCTAAGCTGCAGGGAGACCAGTTTAGAAGCAACTTCAGGAAGAGAGAGAGAGAGAGAGAGAGAGAGAGAGAGAGAGAGAGAGAGAGAGAGGAAGTAAGAACATATCAACCAAATTTTCAGGAAGTAGACTATTTTTGGCTGGAAACTTTTTCTATGTTTATATATGTTTTATATGTGTATGTATACAAACAAGAATATAAAAATACATCATGAAATTTCATTAAAGAACATCTTTTCTAGCATGCCTACAAACTTCATCCAGATAAGACCAAGTTCACAGCTGTCACTGATACTCCTGTACTGCTGCAAGCCCAGCTCAACACGAAGCAGCTTAGCGATGTAAGTGCCTTGACTGATACGCATGTGGGTGGCCCAGAATGCCTTGATTGTTTGAACTGTAAGCATGTAAATGCTTAATCTTCATGCATGTAGTCATCATCCCAACGATGTCATTTTTCAAGATTTCTTTAAAATCTTGGAATGAAGTGGCCGAAGCATACTGGGGAGAGGGACAATAAGTAGTAGAGGTGAAATGGTAGGAGATAAAGGAGGGGATGATTTCTGTAGAAATAAGTAACTCATTAATTTTTAGTGGGAATTTGCTCATCAGGATTATACCAAAAACAATGCATACTAAAAATAATGCGTACTAAAATTCCATGGTAACTTAAATAAACAACAGAAGCATTCACTTGAGTAGCTAACAAGGCAAGCATTTCCCATTCTTAAGTTGCCTAACAAAGACGTTGCAATGAGAAAAAGAGCACAGAAACGAGCAATATATCAGACAATAATTTTTAAAAAATGAATATAGGATGGAGTTGTAGGATTAAAATAGGATGACAGAAGGTATAGTGACTGGTTGGGCACTTTAAATTGGGTGGTCAGGGAAGATCTATGGCACAATGGTCCGCCCTACTAAGATGGGGGAAAGCTGCTGTTTTTCTCAAAGCATTCATAGTCATGTGGGTTGCCCAGTGCCCCTGCTCAAATGCAGATTCTGAGTCAGTAGGTCTGACTCTCTGATAAGCTCTAGGTGAGGCCGATCCTGCTGATTGATAAACCCAACCAAGCAGCCCGGTGCTAACACAGCTACATGCTGACGAGCAGCACATCCTTCTCATGACAGTAAATTAAAACATACAGATTGCCCTCCTAGGAAACGTGTTTTAATGACAGGAATTCTCTCGGTGCCATGGGTAAGGAAGGGAATGGCATCATTATAACCGAGAAGGCATATTGGTTCATATGCAATGCTTCCTAGCATATTAATATTTTGTGCCCCTGAAAGAACAGCTAATCGTTAACACCACTGACCCCACTGAACTTGACAAGATGGAATACGGTGCTGTGCGCAGTGCCCAGTCCCCACCTGCTCTACTTTGAAGATGCTTATTGCACAGTCCTTCTCAATCTTGTCCATTTGCCTTCACCTGCACAAGTCATCAGCCCTGTTTGCTCTTTATGTGCCCTTCCTTCCACTTAAAGTAACTTTTAAAATTTTAAATAAAGTTCTATACAGTATTTTGTACTTTTAATAAGAATTTACCTATCTTTTTAACTCTGCTAGCATGTTATTTAGAATCATTGTTGGTTGTTAGTGTTCTTACACAATTTCATAAATTCAGGGTGTTTCTGCCTTCAAGGTACAGCCTAGAAGTTTAGATTACACAGTAAGTTTATCAGGTACATATTGGATTTACAAAATGGCAACCCAAAGTTTGGTTATACCACAAACCCGGAAAGACGGACTGAGCACCTGGGCTCTGGGCTGCACTTCAATGGGACTGACTCTTTCTTTGAGGCATTCAAAACCAAAAACAAAAACAAAACGGTAGAGATGACTTAGCGATACATATTCTTCCTCATAAATTCAAGAAAGTGCCTATCCTGAACTGTTTGGCCACTCCTTACTGTGTTTCAGCTGAATTACAAAGCAAAACATGAAGGCGAGAAGTTCAAGTGCAACGTGCCAGCAGACGCTCCACAGTTCATCCAGCACAGAGTCAACGCCTATAACCTGAGTGATGTGAGTACCAAAGCCACAGAGGCCTATGTTTATATGTGCACGAAAAGAGGCAATGCCATCGGTGTTCAAAAAGGCCGGGTTAGGAGCTATGCAAATAAACAACTATGAGATTGGTATCAGAGTGTAAGCAGAGTTTTTTAAGACCTAAGTACCCTTAAAGACCTTACTTAGTTATCAGATTTCATTTTCCACAGTCTCTGTTACTGTCAGAAACATTCTCTGTTACCCCTCTGCTAATCCCTAGAGTTTTACAAGATCTCTCCCATCTGAATGTCATATTTCACCTCCTAGAGGTTTCTATTTTATATTATCCTTTATACACCAGGAGAGCAGAGTCTTTAGAAAGTTCACAGGACATTAGAACAAGGATGTGATACTTGGTAGTTGTGGGATAACGCTGGATGATAGGTAAATCAGTAGTATACTGCCATTTGGTAAATATATTTTATATAGGGAAATAAATCCACAGATGCACATTTTCAATGTTTTTATTTTTATTTTTACTGGGTGAATCTGTGTTAGATGTTTTTTTACAATTCCTTTTGCTGAAATTTTCCTGTCCAGAATGTCTATAAGCACGACTGGGAAAAGACCAAAGCTAAGAAATTCGACATTAAAGTGGATGCCATTCCCCTGCTGGCAGCCAAAGCCAACAGCAAGAACGCTAGCGAGGTGAGCATGGCCTGGGACCGGGGTGGGGGACTCGGTGCTGTTCCCTGGTGAGTGGGAGCTGCACGTGTGCTGTCTTTGCAGGTGATGTACAAGAAAGACTATGAGAAAAACAGGGGCAAAATGATCGGAGCCCTCAGCGTTAATGACGACCCCAAGATGCTGCACTCTCTGAAGACGGCCAAAATGCAGAGTGATGTGAGTGCTTGTGTCAGTCTGTCTTGCTTTCAAGATGGCATCCCTGTCAACATGCCCAAGGGCAGTAGCAAGTAAAAGGATTCTCTATCCATGGACCTCTCAGGTTCAAAACAACAAACTGCTGGGGAGAACTTTAGAAGTGGAACAATCTCCCAGATTCTTCCACCTCTTGTGATTGAGGAGGAAAATTATTGCTTTGTACTTGATGTCCATTCACTTTGAAAAATGTGTTAATATTTAATAGAATATTGGTTGTAATTCTTAAAACCTTTTGGAAAACATCACTAGGTGTTGTCATATTTTCTTCTAATTGAAAAATAACCTTTGAAATCATGGTTTTAAAACTGTCTTTATTTTGGAAGAAAACCTTGAGTCAACAAGATAAAAATCTTAGTGTAGCTATCATTGCTCTTTATTGATAATTTGGTAATTAGTATTGGCCTAGAAAAATGCTCATTAATCATAGGCCCCTTTGAGAATCTGATAAAGTATTTGGATTATCCATCTCAAAAAACAAACTTTTTTCTATGCCTTTCGCCTGCATTTCAGAGAATTTATGGCTTTCCTAAGGCTTGTCTATGGACCATCTATTATCTTTTGGCTAAAATTCTTACTATAGAGAAGCAAACATCTACTATTGCAAATTGCAGTATATGGTGTATTTAAAAAATGTTTAGAGAACCATGTAAGAGTGTTAAGAATGTTCAACATAGCTCACAAATATCAGTTTTTCATTATTAAATAGATGGATGGATGTATTATTTGCTTTCCTTTTACCCATGAGCTCATGTGATCGGTATGTACCTTCTCTCATTCATTTTGCATTTACTCATAAAGAACTTTAAGGCATCCCATTCAGTTACTTTATCTAATAACTTCACACTGAACTATGTCGGTATACCATGCTTACATACATAAAACATCTTGTTCTCTACTTCCTTGCCTGTTCTTAACTCAAAAAGGCTATAGCTCTCTGTTGAGAGCACATGTATATTTATCTTTGTTTTTCCATCCTATCACAGAACCCATTAGAGCACTAGGCACATAATAGTGCTCAGTAAACACTTCTTGATTGATGTTGGCATCCAAAAGAAAAGTCACTAATGAGCCATTATCACATAATATCCAGGCTCAATGCTAAGCTGCAGGTATAGAACATGCATAGCTTTTCAAAAGAATCTTTTAAAGTCCTATTGGACCTTTGACAACATTTTATATGTGCAGATATGTATGAACGAGTATGAACATAAACAAAGGAGTCAAAAACACTCCCACACACCAACTGCTATTGCAACATTGCTTTATCAGTTTATTTGTAATAAAGACAAACTATGTTTACATTTTTTAATGTTTTTTCATACCATCAGAAAGCTTTCACATTTTATTTTTATAAACTAAGATCTAGATTTTACAACTAAGGGATAAATTTATTCAGTGAAAGTTACTACCCACAAAATATTGGAAGGAAGACCACATTCCCTAATAGACTGGATCATTTGCAAAAAGAATTTTTCTACAGATTTATAATGCATATCTGTATTTGCTAGCTTGGGCCACTGTCCTTAATGATTCTATGACTATGGGGACATATAATGGGTTTAGAATTTTCCTAACGGCAACTGTCTCTCATTAAAGCAGTTGATGAAGCTGGGACTTTGACCTCGTTAGTAGCCTGGCTAACCATTCCAGAAAAACAGCCAATGGAAGTGCCTTCTGAGGCTCAGTGAGGACATTCATTTTATGAGAACACAAGGGCCAAGGTTACTTTAATGGCTCAACTTCACAGACGTTTCTCCTTTGAGATGTTATAGCTACTGCAATCTGAAGTTTCTTTTAAATTGTTACCAAAAATTAAATGTAGTATGAAAAAGCCTTTGAGATTCTCAGTGGGGCTTATGCCCTGTCAAGTGTGGAATAATCAGGTTGAAAAATCAGAAACTATCCCTTTAAAGATGACTTTAGAAACTCCAAGGATCAAGTGTACACTTCTGTTTATCAAGCTGTCGTCTTATAAAACCAGAAGTAGAAATGATTGTCTTAGGATTTTGGTCAACCAAAAAAACACTCCCTTATTGGAAAACTCTTCAAAGGTTAGATTACCTCCAGAGGTCATATAGTTTGTTAGCAGTCTTTGAAAACCCCTGTTTTAAAATAAAGTAATACTTGGCTGAAGCAGAAGCCATGGCCCATTCCTGATGTCTGACAGTTGTACTTTGATCTAAAAAGAGATTTGAGAAGATCTGTCCATGTATGATTTTGGGGAGCATTTCAACAATGTGTAACATATGAACAAATTTTAGGAAAAAATAGCTACTCAGATGTTTGGATCTGTTTTTCTGAACTCGTATTTGTTGTTTATGAGAGATCTCTGTGCTTTTTCTGGAAATCCATTAAGGTAATAAACGGTAATTTCCTATTCACAGCGTGAATATCATAAAGACTATGAAAAGTCGAAAACTATCTACACGACACCTCTTGATATGCTCCAAGTCACTCAGGCTAAGAAAGCTCAGGCAATTGCCAGTGACATGGACTACAAGCACGTCCTACACAGTTACAGCTACCCGCCCGACAGCGTCAACCTGGACCTGGCCAAGAAGGCGTATGCACTGCAGAGCGACGTGAGTATCCGATTTCCTCTATTCCCTCCTAAAATAAGGGAGAAACGGAGAAAGATTTCTAAGTGGGGTGAGTTTTTTGGCATTTCTCACAGGTGTCGGCATGATCTTCTGTATGTAAGAACTCTGTAATGGGAAAGTTACCCCTGTGGTTCTATGAGAGAACACCCTTCAGAGTTAGAGAGACCTGGGTCTAGTATGTACCCCATCACTGTTTCCCTTGGGGAAAGTTATCTATTTTGCTGAGTCTACAGTCCTCCTTGTAAAATCGGAATAAAACAAAACAACCGTTTTGGTGATTTAAATGTTTGCAAAAATATTTAGCAGAGTACCAGGTCTTGGTGAGTTCTCAAAAAACATTCACTATGATTGTCATCATCACTATCAATAATTTTCTACATAGATTTCTATCTTGTCTAAAAATAAAATAAATAATTACAGCATCAATTTTTTTATAGTAGCTGGACTTTTTTCTGCAGATCAAAACTTCTTTAGGCAAATTAATTTGCCTGAGCGACACAATTGAACACGTTATCCTAGCAATTCTATTTTCTAAACATGTGGCAAAATACACTTAACATAAAATTTGCCATCGTTACCATTTTAAGTCTACACTTCTGTAGCAATTAATTATATTCACCTTGTTGTGCAACCAATCTCCTGAACTTTGTCATCTCACAAAACTGAAACTACACACAAACAACAGCTCATCATTTCCTCCCTCCCTCAACCCCTGGCAACCACCCTCTACTTTCTGTTTCTATGAGTTAGACTACTCATGTTAATGCAATAATCCCATATTTGTCTTTTGTGAATGCCTTCCCCTAACCCTGACCCTAACCCTAACCACTTAGTGTAATGTCCACAAGGTTCATCAGTCTTGTAGCATTTGTCAGGTTTTCCTACCTTTTTGAGTTGAATATAGTTCTGTTTTATGCTACACCACATTCTGCCTGGCCATTTACAGGTCAGTGGACATTTGGGCTGTGTGAATAATGCCGATGTGAACACGGGATACCAACATTTCCATCACTAAGCATTCTATTTTATACATAGTCATCTTATTTATTTGTTTAATTTTTGCTATATTTCTTCCTCCCAAATAAATTGTAAGCCTCTTACAGGTAGGAACCATATGATTTCTTGATTTTTTTCATTCTAATTAGAAGGCCCACACTAAAGAATAAAAATTTGAAGTTCGTATCTAGAGTTTAAGTTTAGGTACTATCTATAGCTAGATAATAAGGGTAACTAATTATTTTAATAATATTAAGTAAGTGTCCTCAAAATAGGACCAATTCCAAATGATAAGCAAATTGGTGAGCATGACTGTGTTAAACTGCACTGTCAGCCAATGTAGAAAAACTCCTAAGCTGACTACTACACATGAAGGGCATTGCGAGCAAACAACTACTATCAACTCTTATCTAATCATAAAATGAGCAAAATTATCCAACTTTAATGTGGTTTTCAGTCCTAATTTGACCATTTACACATAATACTTAGAGCTCTAATGAGCAAACCTCTCGCATTTGATTATCTAAATATAACAACTTCATTTATTCCTTAAAATGCAGCTTTGAAATTAGCATTTTCCTGATTGAAATTCCACTCAGTTGAAAATAAAAATGAAATGAAATATATGCCCACTGGGAAAGCAGTGAGAACCTAAGGACTGTTAAAATCTCTCACCAAGAATATGTTTACAATAAACTTAATGTCTGGAATAAGAAAGCTGGTCAGAAATCTTAACATGTTAATGATTTTACAAATAAGCATGATGCTGAGCAAAAGAAATTTAACCTGTCTCTTGGTGTTCTAGGTCGAATACAAAGCTGACTACAACAGCTGGATGAAAGGCTGTGGCTGGGTGCCTTATGGGTCCTTAGAAATGGAAAAGGCAAAGAGAGCTTCAGACATCCTTAATGAGGTAAAGCCAGTGTATTCATTTGTCACAGAGAGATTTGTGCATGTGCCATGAGGAAATTCCCCAAATCATGGGAAGTGTCTCCTTTACCACTTCATTATCTGGTAATTGTTGCTGAGGGGAAAAACTAACCACATGCATGAATTATTCTGGGAGAAAAATCACATACAGGAGCCATTCATGATAAAAATATTTTAACAACTTTATCAAGGTTTACTTTGCATACCATAAAATACTATGTTAGGTGTACCCCTGAATGAGTTTTAATAGGTTCCTATAGTTGTACAATCATCATTACAGTCGAATTTTAAAATTCTGCTAGTTCTCCAAAATGATTCCTTGTAAAATTCCTGCTCCCATCTTCAGTTCCAGGCAACCCCTCATTTGCTTTGTGTCTCTAGAGTTCTGCTTTTCTAGAAAATTCCTTTATATCAGTCTTATTTAGAATAATGTTGTTGAGGTTCATCCATATACCTACATGCGTCTGCAATTCCTTTGTTTTTACTATTGAGTAGCATTCATTGGTATGGCTATGTTGCATTTTGGTTGTCTAGTTGGTGCACATGTGCATTTTTTCCACTTTTTGGTGATTATGAATAATGTATATAAAGAATATTACAGATTATATATTATATATCCTATGTCATATTCTTGATGACTGTGAAGTAGTATATAGATTATTATTTAGTCTAAGAAAAAATAACGATGATCTTGCAGTCTCAAAGCAGCCAAGCGAGATCTGTCCCTTCTCTGCCTACAGTGAAACATCCCGATACTGCCAGGCAAACCCATCATCAAGGAGGTTAGACTACATAAAAAAGGGGCAGAGGTGCTCAGTGAGAGTTGTCTTCCATACTCAAGATTTTGTTGTTCATGTTGTTTTGTGCTTTTGTTTGTTTTTGGTGAAGACCATTGTATCTACTCAGGAATTTTTCAGAAAAAGTTCTTCTGATTTGATTGTTGTCAGAAGTCTGAGGTTGAAAGAGTGATGCAACTGTGGGAGAATAGGTGGAGAAGAATATAAGGATAAGAGTAGCTAGAAGTTGTCAGCTCCCAATTCGAACACCTTCCAGTGTTCCCTCTCCTGTGACTTCTCAGCTCTTTAGTGACAATCTATGTACTAATCATATTGAGGCTTGCAGAGCAAAAGTACTCCCTCTCTTTTTTTTAAAAAAAAAATATTTTTATTGATTTCAGAGAGGAAGGGAGAGGGACAGAAACATCAATGATGAGTGAGAATCATTAATCAGCTGCCTCCTACATGCCTCCCACTGGGGATCAAGCCTGCAACTCAGGCATGTGCCCTTGCCCAGAATCAAACCCAGGACCCTTCAGTCCCCAGGCCGACACTTTATCCACTGAGCCAAACCAGCTGGGGCATTTCCTCTCTTTTCAATAATCCCTAGCTACTGTCCCAATTCCCCAATTTCTCCTCGCTCAACTAGAGATCTTTAACTGCTGATGATGTGATGGGGGAAATGACATCTCTGAGAACTTGTTAGTGCAAAGAAGCCTAACTTGTCTTTCTGAATGGTTTTCTCTTAATCCTTTAGAAAAATTTGCAATGTTTCTGTATTCTGCTTATCTGAGAGTGCCCTTTTTTGTGTGTCATAAGCAAGAAATTAAGAGAATAAAGTCTGGTTCCTGAAAGTTGTATTGACAAATCCAAGATTAAGTCAATTTTTAAATAATGGCTTTTGCATTGTATTCACTTCCCCATCCCCCCAACCAAACCAGCCCAAAATCTAGTATTTTCACATTTTAAAATCAGGAAAAGTCACGTCTCTCCAAAATAAATTTCAAAGGTTTTCATATATTAGCCTTCAGTGCAAGTAATATAATTGTTTTTCTTTCTTTTTTTAATTCACCAAACAGAAAAAATATCGCCAACATCCAGATACTTTCAAGTTTACTTCGATTGAAGATGCTCCAATTACAGTGCAATCTAAGATTAACCAGGCCCAGAGGAGTGATGTAAGTGTGAATCTTATCTGTGTCTCCATGAATGCTAACTAATACAAATACATTACTATTCCAAATGTACTGATCACCTATAGTTATTATGGAATCTGAAGAGACTCAGTTACATGAGCAACTTTATAGTTCCCTTAGCTTCTCATTAACAAAGCACACCTAATTCATATCTTAAGAGTATTATGTACTGTGTGCTGTCCTTCCAGTATTTTGACCTTGATTTCCAAGGAGAAGGTAAGAGGGGCTTCTCTTGATAACAGGAAACATTACACGCCTATTTCTAGGAAAGACCAGGAAGATGAATAGAAGCACTATATCATATGGAGGAGTTATATTTTAAGTCAGAACTAAGACAAAAATCATAATAGTCAAACCTACTACCCACCACCCCCTTTAGGAGCCCACAGAGTATAATAGAGATGGTTGGTGTATCCGACTGCATTAGCCTCTCTTATGCTCTACACATTCACATTTTCATCAGGACACCTTCCTGGGCTAACTTCCACCAGGTGCCCTGACGTATGTCCAGGGGTTCCTAGTACATACATACCAAGGTGCCTTTGTCCAGGCTGAACCAGCATGAAGATAAGACCCTGTGTAATTGCATGTGAGACCTTGAATGCCTTCAGATGTTTGCAGCTGAATATGGGGACCACACAGAGTCTTTCATAAGAAGCACCCCTGCGCAGTGCGACCCTCCCTAAAATTATTTTCCTCTGCCATTAAATCTTTTTCCTACTTTATTAGTTTGTTTATACATTGTTGTTTTTTCTCTTTCAGATTGCCTACAAAGCCAAAGGAGAGAAAACTCTCCACAAATACAGCCTGCCAGCGGACCTGCCCCAGTTCATCCAGGCTAAAGTCAATGCCTACAATATCAGTGAGGTGTGTGCATGGGCTCAGCTGTGGGCTGCCGAGAAGTCTTTTCTAAGTGTGGTCTGCGTTATACTTAAATGACATTTTTCTTTCAGAATATATACAAAGCAGACTTGAAAGATATGAGCAAGAAGGGGTACGACCTGAGAACGGATGCGATTCCCATCAAGGCTGCCAAGGCTGCCAGGCAGGCAGCCAGTGATGTAAGTCCAGCTGGTGGTCACCTGTGTGTAACCAGAAATGTGGGCGGGGTGGACTTGTTATCCCAAAGTCCCACATCTGCTGTCCCCACCTGGAAGCAAATCTGGTTGAAAACTGTTTAGAAAAGAAAGTTCCTTAAACAGATCTGATCAGCTCTCATCAAGCACCCTAGATAAAAATTCTCATCAATATTTTTATACAATGCACTTTATTCTCCTTGTGAAAATAAATAAGGAACATACTGTTGCAGAAGACCAAAGGAAAACCAAGCAACACTTTAAAGAAAAGGAGGGACACTGTTTAATTACACCAGTGGACTCAGGGAATAGCTTTCCAAATCTGAGTACAGAAACATACAGGGGGTTTCTTTTGATATCTCCCTGTGGTCTTTGTCCCACAAATATGAATTATGCTTCCGGTCCATTTCATGGGCCTTGCAAGAAGGCCCCCAGGTGGTGGGGGTCTCCGGGCCATATCTGATGGTTTGGCCTGGCACCAGTGTTAATAACCCTTCCCCTGGGGCCGTGCACTGTTCACAGTTTTATGGCCTCTGTAACAGGTTCTGCAAGACCAGTTTCTGGGAAGGAGGTAATGATTTAATTACAGGTTATCAGGAATGTACACTGAGCTTGCTGGCATGGATTCCAATTGCTAGCCCCCCAAATATCAGGGTTACATTGGAATTAGCCCATTTTAGCCTTCTTAATACTATTTAAGTACTAGGGGCCTGGTGCACGAAATTCATGCACTGGGTGGTGGCGGGGGGGGAGTGTCCCTCAGCCCAGCCTGCCCCCTCTCACATACTGCGT